AGACAGCCACACACACAGACAGCCACACACATACACACTCAGGCAGATAGCCACACACAGGCAGACAGTCACACACACACACACACACACACACTGGCAGGCAGTCACACACACATAGACAGAACGCCACACACACAAACACACAGAGGCAGACAGCCATACAAACACAGGAAGACATCCACACACACACTGGCAAGCAGTCACACACACACACACATAGGCAGACAGCCACACACACAGGCAGATAGCAACACAAACACACACACGCAGACAGTCACACACACCAATAACACACACACACCACAGTAACCACGCACCAACATCAATATCATCACACAGGCAGATAGTCAATAATGACAGCGACAGTCACAACAGATGTCACACGACAGATTATACGCACGACAGCTCACGCGACACAGGCAGACAGTCAAACACATGCCAGACAGTCAAACACACATACACACACACACACACACACACACACACACACACACACAGACAATCATACATAGTTACCTCTGTTCATTATGGAGGAGTGGAGACTGGTTGTTGGTGAAGCAGGAACTCCTTTCTGCTTCCCCTGCAGCAGTTATCCGGCACTTTTACTCCACCCCCGCCGTCAGTTTAGCTCTGCCTCTGCCGCAAAGTAAACTCCGCTCTGCCACAATATATATATTATTGTATTATATTATTATATAATTATATATTATTGTGTGTGCTGTGTCGGCCGCATGGCACCCCCTGCTCCCATGGTGCCCTGTGTGGCCGCACAGCTCGGATACCCCTAAGGCCGGCCCTGATTATGCTCTGGGGAATGTTGTGCTGAGAAACCTTATGTCCTGGCATTAAGGTGGATGTTACTTTGACATGCACCACTGACCTAGAGATTGTTGCCGGCAACAGTTTTACCTGATGGTAGTGACTTCTTTCAGCAGGGTAATGCACCCTGCCACGCTGATAAAAATTGTTCAGGAATGGTTTGATAGAGTTCTAGGTGTTGACTCCCAATTTCCCCAGATCTCAATCACTATGATGTGCTGATGTGCTGATCCATGGTGGCCCCACCTCACAATTTGCATGACTTAAAGGATTTTTTAATATCTGTTCATATATGTTCCTCACCACAAACAATTTGTAATATATATATTACTGTTTTTGACATTCTAACTTCTCTGGATGGTACTTTGTGAATTCCTGATTCTCAGGTCCTAGAACTTCACTCTTATGGACAGCCATCTCTGATGTCCCACCTGAAATTACAACCTTGAGTGTTCCTATCACAACCGGGACTACTACTGACTTCACTTTCCACATCCTCTCTAGCTCCTCTTTCAGTCCTTGGTATTTGTCCACCTTCTCATGTATCTTTAAAAAAAAGAAAAAAAAAAGTATTAAATTGTATTAAAAATATAGTGCTGTGTTACCATTGGATAAGGCTGCCATAACTCTTATTTTAAGTTATAAAGACAACTGTCTCTCCAATGGGAGGGCTTATCACTTGTTTCCAGTACCTGGGGATTAAGGTTGTAGCTGCAATCAAAATATGGGAGATAATTCTTTTTTCCAGTTTCTTTAAACAGTCAGGGAGCAACTTAAATAAGAGCAAAAAACAGGGTGTAAGAGAATACTGAGAACAGGCAGCAGCTGAAATAGCCTGGACCCCTTGCTCACGGTGCCTAGAGAGATATCAGCTATGCCTCACTGATGATGCCTAACACGGCTGAAACGATCATCTGGGGTTGTTGTATCTCTCGTGCAGCGGGAACTTGCTGACATTTTGGATCTGGACTGCCCGTATGGGTGGGACCAGTCTGATATGTTTCAGAGATGTTCTCTCTGTAATGGCCCAAGATGAGCTAAAACCAACTTGAGAACTGAGCGGGGACCCACCGAAGGGCAGGCTATTTCAGCTGCTGCCCGTTCTCAGTATTCTCTTGTGCCCCGTTTTTTGCTCTCAGGAACTTAAATAATCCTAATTTAGGTGTTCAGTCTAAAATGGTAGGAGCGATAATTTGAATTATTGATAAAATGTACTTCCAGAATGGTGTCAGTTTAGGACATTTCCACCATATGTGAAACATTGTCTTTGTCATCACATTCTCTCCAGCAATTGTCAGGCGCATCTTGGAACATTTTGCTAAGTTTAACAGGTGTCAAATACCAAGTGCAAAATACTTTCATATGTTTCTTTAAATGATTGGCACAATTTGTAATTCCCCTTCAGCAGGGGCGTACCTAGAGCATTTGGCACCCGGGTGGATCCTATTTTTGGCGCCCCCGTAGACCCCCCAACTTTAAAATGTAAAAAACAATCACAATTTTAAAAAAAAATGTATTTAGCATCAAGCAGTGTTTGTGCTTTTAAATGTAAGCATGTTTTTGTATGGAGTATGTTTGAGTGAATGTAGGATGTGTGTCTGTATGTGGTGTTGGCGTTTGAATGCAGGCATGCATTTTTATGTAGTGTGGTTTGAAGGCAGTGGTGTGGTTATATATAATGGTGGAGTTTGTATGTAGTGTTGATGTTGAAATGCAGGGGTGTATTTGTGTGTAGTGTTGGCGCGATTCTGAGATATATGCACATATACACATACACACACCTAAATACACACTGACACACATGCAGATACATAAACACATAGGAACAATATATAGGGGGTGGGCACATAAGATACCACAATCCAAACTGGGGGGGCACTAAAACTTTTCACTAGGGGATGGGGTAATGTGCTGCCATTGGCTGCCTGATGCCAGAATGCAGTGCACATTGGCATCAGTCAACAAATTTGCATATAATTCACATTAGCCACCCAGATTTCTTGTTCGTGGGCTAGCTGACACCTCTTAACGTCAATCTTTGTTTATCAGATAACTCCATTATTTGCTATCCTTATGTGGGATTGCCATATTTAAGGACACCAAATAAGGATGAGGGAGCTATCTGCTAAACAGCACCCTAATTTGGTATCTTTAAATATGGAAATCTCACATAAGGACACCAATTTAGAGAATTATCAACTAAACAGCTAAAAGATCAATTTAAAAAAAAAAAACCTTTTCTTAATTTCAGTTGTTTAGTAGATTACACCCTTATTTGTTATCCTCATGTGGGATTGCAATATTTAAGAACACCAAATAAGGGAGCTATGTACCAAACACATACACATTTATATACACACAATAGGTGTATGTCTGTGTGTGTGTGTGTGTGTGTGTATATATATATATATATATATACGCACAAACACACACACTTAACTACAGAGATACACACACAACCACACACATAAACACAGACATACACAATCACAGACCCACACACATACAATAACAAGCACACATAATTAGATATACACACGAAAACATCACATACATGCACACATTTAATAATTAAGAGGTCCACCCAGCCTCCCTACCTTGCTATGGGAGGGCTAGAGTGGATCCTCAGTCCCTGGTAGTCAGTGGTTGCTGCTGGGATCTCTGTGCTCTTCATGGATGTCCCTTGCACATCCTGTAATATGATGCCGATGCTTGGATGATGTTATGTGCCGACTCACTGCAGGGCGAAGACAGTCAGATACAGTCAGATGTACACAGTTATACGCATATACTGTCAAATACAGCCACATGCACACCGTACCAAACACATAGTCACTTGCACACTGTCAAACACACAGCTGCAGGAAGACAGTAACACACACAGTTACAGAAAGACAGTCACACACACACAGCTACAGGCAGACAGTCACACACACACACAATTACAGGCAGACTGTGACATTAAGAGCTCAAACTCTCCCCTCTTCCCCCTTATCTTTTCTTATTCTTACTTTCTCGTCCCCTCTCTCCTCTTTTATTCTATCACAAAAAATTACTTTATGATTGTATACTTTATATAAAATATCTGTTAAATGATTTATCATTCATGTAACAACACTTTGTGGATAACTACAGACTTTATGTACAATGTATTCATTTGTAATTATTCCAAGTTGTTATTATATGAAAAAATATAATAAAAAATATTTTGAAAAAAAATAAATAAATATATATATATATATATATATAGTTCTGTGCTACCTATAGTGAAATAAAAAAATAATAAAAGGTGCAGGCTAAAACTTTTGCTTGCGCTAATGTGTTTTTGATCCTCTAGGTGTGTGTACCCAACATGATTTATATGGCTATCTTAAAGTTTTTTGCATAAACAGCGCTATATATATATATATATATCTTTATAGGCTCTTTTTTCCTTTTAATGTGAGCTGTTCTTTTCCTAAACATATGTAATTTTGTATATGTATATACAAAATTGTATATTGTAATACGTATATTTTTATATTGATGTATTATTAGAATAATATAATTTGCTTTACATGTGCACTTTTACTACAAGTGTGATTTCTCGCTTTCAGACCATTTTATACTTAATTTGTTACTTTTTTCCTCTTAGTTCTTTGGCACCTTTCAGCTGTTTGGCCCAGAAGTTCTATTTTTTCTGATAACTTCCTTATGTGTTGCCTTTATCTTATCCATCATGGTGGGCATGAGCTTGCAGTCAAGCAATTGCAGGACTAATGCTGTAATATATATGACCTTGTTGGTCTCTGTGAGGGTATTTGGTTGGGATTGTGGACAATGCCTCCAAATCAATTATCTAGACTTCAAGGGTTCAGAGATGCTTTTTTGCAAAACGTTGTAGTAAAACAAATTTCTTTCAGTAACTTTTTCCTTCCTGTCATCTTTATCCAGTTTGTCTATTCTCATTGAGACATTACATTCTCTTCCTAAATATTACGACCCACTTACTATGGGTGAGGGTAGGAAGGCCATAATCATGTACTTTCACCCCTGTTTTTTTGTTTTTTAAATATCCCCACTCATTGGACACAGGTGGGGA